CTTAAGATGCTGCTGCTCTGGCTCTGGGGTTTCCAGGCGTTTCCAGGAGGGGCCAGTCCCGAGGTTGAGGCTGACGGCTCTCAGTGGCAGCCTCCTTTGGAACTGTCTGCACAGAGAGCCCAGGGGACCCGTCTCCAGATGGCTCTCAGCAGACCGGGCCACCGCCTTCTCTAGATGTTCCTCCTTTAGGAGTGATCGTCTGCGCATGGAGGCCGTCATGCCCTGCCACTGAGACGCCATGTGCTTGGTCCAGTTTCCTCTGCCCGCTAGATCCTGGGGAGGTCAAAAGGTCATGAAAGTACTCCCTGGCCCTATTCCCAGGCGCCAGAGACCCTGGGAACTGGGGAAGAGGTGAAGTAGAACCTCTTGGGGTAGACCTGCTGCACAATTTTGGATGCCAGAAAGATGACCATGGCGTCATGGTCAGCAGCTGCCTCGACTGCAAGGCGGTAAACCGTCTGTCTTTCTATGACAGCCTCCTTCACGGAGGCTCAGCGGAGAGACAGAGAGATGTCACCGAGCCTCGGCGCTTATGCAGGGCAACATTAGCAAGCGGCTCTTTCACAAATTCGCGCTCCACTACGGAGCAGACCCTGGCCACCCCTCCAAGGCCTCGGATCCGATGGGGATGCTTTAAATTTCCAGACACCCACTTTGCGTTGCGGGTCCTATCCAAAGTCCCTGGCCCACTCCCCTCTCGGAGCTGCCCATGAGACCCCCTCCCCAAACCCCTTGATGTCCCCACGCGCTCACCTCTCTGCCTGATACCCGAGACCTGAAGATCGACACACGCTCTTCGCCCACCACAGCAGATTTGAAACTCCGCGCGGCCCCGCCCCGGCCCGGTGCTCGCAGCCCATTGGTCCTATCAGCCCTCCGCCGCCGCCGCCCCTGGATTCCGATTGGCCTGTTTCTCTCGCGACCATAAATCGTGCTTTGGGATTGGCGGGGCTACGCCCTTACATCGCTCGGGGACCCCCGCCTGGAACGCTGCAAAGGGTCCCCCAGGCTCGGGCGGTCGCCCCCTGACCGCTGTCACCGCCCAGTCCCCTTGCCACTTTCCGGCTGCTTGGTTTGGGGTGGCCGCACCTCGTCCGTCGCGCGCCCAGGCCGTCCCCAGAGCCTGCGGTCAGGCTGCTCTGCGGGATGCTGCGGGGGCGCGGGCCACCGCCACCTAGGGCACTCCTTCCAGCCCTTCACCCCACCCAACTTCTCTCTGGCATCCAGTAGTTTTGTCAGAGCGTTAGGCTGGGACTGCCGAGCTCTGGGTTCCCTGGGAAGTTTGGTTTCAAATTCCCCGCCTGATCCTTTTCCTTCCTGAGAGATGGCCCTGCCCCAGTCAGTTCCTCAAACTCACCACCCCGCTGGCGCCCAAGAAAGCACATCTCAGAAGAAGGGACAACCCTAGACCACCCTCTGCACCAGTTAGGTCAGTTCCTCTGCCCGGTCTCGCCATCTTTCCATCTTTCCCTTAATCTCCCAGCAAGCTTAAAACAACAACAACAACAACAACAGCAACAGCCTGGCTTGCTTTCTCCTGTGTATCTGCTTTTATTTTTGTTATTTTGACTTTTTTTTTTTTTTTTTTTTTT